GGCTGGGGAATTCTGGGAGTTGAAGTCAACATATATTCAAGTGGCCAAGGTTGAGAAACACTGTTCTAGTGGGTAAAAACAGCCCTGAAGCTAACTTGCTGCCAAACCATAAACAGCTTTATAGGTTAAAAGCAGCACTTCAGATTATACCTGGAAGCCTAAGGAAGCTAAGGCAGGGCCCATAACATAGGTGTAATGTGCTCCCATGTGCAAGTGCCAGGTTGTACATCATTCCCATTTTGGATTGCGTAAAGCTTCTGTGCAGTCTTGAAAGGCAGTCACATGTAGGATATGTTGTAAAAAAATCTAAGCAAGTGGTGATGAGGGCATGAATCACTAAGGCAAGGTCCTCTTGCCCCAGGTAAGGCTGCAACTGGTGCACCACCTCAAGCTGGGCAAATGCCACCCTGACCACAGCTTCTATCTGCTGTTCAAGGAGGAGTCACCTCCAAATCCAGGAGGATATCCCATGTACTACCTTGGAGATTACAGGCCAGAAAGAATCTCAAAGTACCTGGTAAGATGTTGTCCCAGTTACCACTCTAAACCTTGCCCATGTGAAGTCAAGACTTGAGTGAATCTGAGTGAATTTACTAGCAAAAAGCTGTGCTAACTGGTTACAGTGGACAGAAGAAAGCTCTTGCAACTGGCTCCTTCCCAAATGGGAATTAGCTATGCTAAATAAGGGCACTGGATGAGTGTTTGCCAATGCAATGAGAGAAGTAAGAACACTTTGCCTCTCTTATCACCAAGGAATAAGCCATAACCTGGGCACATACATGTGCCCAGTCAGAGACACTCTTTGTCCTTCTCCATGTATGTTTATGTTGTTTTTGCTGCTTCATCTCCTGGTGGCCCTCCAAAATCCAAGAGGTGGCCTGGGATTTGCTCAGGAGTGATTTCATCAATGGTTAGGGTTAGGGTTAGGCTTGTGGTTGTCACTTTGCTTTGCAGAATTCTGCTTTCTTATTTAATTTAAAAGAAGATAAGTAAAGTAAATCAAGTGATTCAGAGAGCCCAATCAGTTCCAAAGAAAGTGCCTCTAGTACATTGGTGCTCCTGGGCACCATGCTGAGAATCTAAGGTTTTAATTATCATATATTCTTCTATAAACTTTAAACAGCACCAGCAGGTAAAGTAGCATCTATCCATCTTTTATTTATAAACTGCACTTGTAGGGACTTTCTTCACTTGTAGATTTTCCCAAAGTGAGTATATAAGAAAATATGAAACTTTTTTAAAAGCTTGATTTGTTTACTAAATTTAGCATCATTGGTCAATAGTTATGATGGAATGTCTAATGGACCCTGAAAAGGAACCCAGCTGATGGTGGTGGTTGGGAGAGATATGTGGAAGAGACTCTGAGTGACTCCATTTTTACCATGTTAGGTATAAGTTGAGTTGGAGATGAGTTTGGTAGGCTTTCAAGATTCTGTCACAATACTGTACTAGTAAAAATCTTTACAGAAACCCAAGGGATGTTTGCTTCTTCAGTTTGCCTGCCACAAAGAGTTTGATACAATACAGAATATACAGGTAGCCCTTGCTAACTGATGGTCATTAGGACCAGGAACTCTGTCACTAAATGATGCAGTCGTAAGGCATGACATTATGTGACTGCACTGACTTATGATGACAGTTCCAGCAGTCCCAGTTGCTGTTGTTAGGTGAATCCCATGCAGTCACAGTGTCCCACAATCACTTGATCACCATTTGTGACTTCCTGCTGGCTTCCCCATTGACTTTGCTTGTAGGAAGCCAGCAATGAAGTGGAACACTTCCACTTCTGTGGAGTGTTGTCAGTGACAAGAAAAAAACTATTAATAAACTTTTAATCTCAGGACAATCTGGTTAGGAGTAGATTTTATAAAATAATGTAGATAGTAAGGAAGATATCCTTAATGAAGGTATGCAAGTTCAGTTGCCAAGGCAACAAGGGGTAAAATGTTTTTTAAGTCTAGAACATTCAGATAACATTTAGAAGCAACTCAAACAGATTCTTCCCTAATTTACTGAACTATAAGAAGGAGGAAGAGGAGGTACAACACAACAAAACATGCAGGACTCTATTATTATAGCTAATCTCAGTAAAAGTACTTTTAGCCTTCCTGTGGAGTTGATTCCTTGATCTAATCTACCTAGTGGGGCTGACAAATAATCTTCACCGGCAATCCTTGCCAACTGGCATGGCTATGCAGTTAGCATATCAAACAGTAGAAACTTATGGCTTGGGAAATAACCATATATGATCAATCATCAAGCAAAAATGTGATTTTTCATTAAGATCAATGGATCTCAATAGTGAACAATTAATAAGAAAGCTTAATATCCACTGGATTTAAGGAGAAAGGTATCTCTGAATATTAACATGGATATAGTTAAACAGCACTATCCAAATATCCTATAAATTCTTTTGTTCAGTCCTATTTAACTCCTAGTCTTAGGTAGTGGATATGAAGGCATTAGAAAACTGGATTATTTGGGAAAATAAAAGGAGGAGAAGGAGGAGGAGGAAGAAGAAGAAGAGAAAGGAGGAAGAGAAAGAGAAGGAGAAGGAGAAGGAGAAGGAGAAGGA